GAATTATTTGAAGGTGAAAAATAAACGTAATCTAGTCCTGATTATATATATATATATATATTGTTGCTGAAGAATTGTAACCTTTGACCTAACCACTCCTATGAATCCGGTGTTCATCTTGCTGTGCTAATGAGGTATGGCAACCTGGACCGATGCACATATGTGCCTGGTCCTACGTTGTAGCTGACTGACTGAAGAATTGTTCGCTTCCTGTGACAACACTGTGTAAACAATGGAGATTTCTGATTATGTGTATTGGTACGCAATGGGATTGATATCACATTAACTGTTACCATCTTGTTTTCTGACGCTCAGACTGTATGAAATCAGCGAAAAGACTATCATTTTATGACAGCGCGGCATAATGAACAACAGTTTTGTTCGGTTGGTTGATACTTGTTTGTTTCGCAGGACCTTCTTGATGGGGTTCTAATAATTGCACAATATGATGACTTGGTATGTCATTAGACAATTCTCATAGCGGAAGCCAATATTAATTCTATCGGAACCTCTTCAGAAATCACGACGAAGTTTCCAGAGGCTCCAAAGGACCCAAAAAGATTTTATCCAATCAGAACCTGACAGAGCCTTCTAGAACATTAACGTGGTATGCTACTATTGGACGATAGCATAACTTGCATCCTTGCTGATTGGCCGAATAATGATTATGTTATAGCCAATACTAATAACCATAAATCCCCATGTTTTTCTACACATTTATGATTCTTATCCAATTGTCAATTCCCGTGCTTCCTCCATCTACTGATCCGCAACTGTGGGGTTCTACACATCCGACTGCCATTAGTTGTGTATCGTATTCTGTCGTAATCCAGTATAAGATGTAACAGATTCCACTGTAATTTCCTTTCACTTTGCCACCAATAATGGCATCCCTTTGCAATCTAAGTTAAATTTTACTAGGTATTTTTCAATCTACATTTCATCTTTTACTTCCGACCATCAGTATTGTCGTGACGAAAACAGAATCGATATAGTTGCATTACTGGTGCTACTGCCAAACTAATATGACTGGACACATGTTCACAATGAAAGAATGATGACAGATGAGAATTTGTTCTATGCTAAAAGTAGATCCAAATTATGTCTGAATAGATTTGTTTTGTTTTCTTATATACGATTATATATCGATTAGTAGTCAGATTTTGAATAAATTAAACTGATCCACACTTGCTACTGATTCATCAATAAACAATCATATAAATATAATTCATAAATATCATAAAATCAAAATTCCTCAATTAACATTCAATATTGACTAGTTGAGTTATATGTCTGCTCCTTCCAAAAAACATTTTCCATTTTTACTGTACTGAATATCAATAAATCTTTCGTCATGAATCAATTTGAGCAACCTATCTCCCCTTCTTCATTACAATTGTTTATAAGAAATAATTCTCTTGTTTTCATTTACTGGTAATAATATCAATTTCCTCTCATTCAATTTCGTCCTTAGTATCATTTTGCATTGTAAATAACTTGAAAATATCAATACAAAAAGTATATGTTAAGTGTTATTTATTGTTTATTATTAAATCATTTTAGTCCTTCTGTAATCGATTGTTGTAGAAACATAAAATGATCAAATTATCAGAAATAAATTTTTATGTGTAAAAATGTACTTTATTTGTTTATCCCACCATCTATCTACAATTATTCAACAATCAAGTCCAAGTTTGTTTTATTTTACTTATAGTCATGTCAATTTTTTTTCTAAATACCCCTACCAAACTACTTGGATCAAAGTCAATATAATAAAATCAATCCGATAGAACTTAATAGTCAAATCACTCAAAATCGTAATTGTATGTGTCTATAGTTTGGCAAAAACTTTTTTCATTATTTTACAATTATGTATATCATATGATTCCAAAGTTTTTTCTTCAGTATAAACTCAAATTATACAACTAAATATCTTTTTAATACATAAATTAAAGTATGATTCATTAATCGTTGCATAAAATGTAATTAGTCAACAAAAATTACGAATTTTTCATGGTTATATGTTTTTGTTTATTTTTCGAATTATTTTTTCTTCTTAGGTTTTTGCATTCGATCCAATAGATAATGCTAGATATATGCGTCCATTGTTGTATAATCCTGGTATACCTGTTCCTTCTTCAGATCCAGATGCTCCACAATTTGTTTGATATTAAATACTAATGTATTGCAATGATACCATTAAATAATTTCTTGTCAATGTCACATACATACCTCGTATCGATTCAATCAAGAAAAGAGAAAGAAATCTACACTTTTGTTTATTTCCAGTTTTATTTCATATTATTATTCTTTATTAATGCCTTCATTGTTTAATTCATATTTCATTGCATATTAACAATAACGTGTTTATATATCTACTGCTTAATGTATCGCGTTTTTTAAAGGTTTTGTACTTTTGTTGTGTATTTTCATGTTATCATTTGGTCCTTGTTTGGCTTATGCTTAACCTATGATATATCTATACGTCTATGTACATCTATGTTAAGCGGAACTATATGCGTACATATTCTCACAGTTGGTTTAACACAATCTCTTCGCTAACTGGTAAGCGTGTTTTGCTTCATCGCATTTTAACTCTGTTCTCACTGAGATTCTTCATGAATATACCTCTACTATATTCCATAAACTTATACGGATGTATTAAAATGTGAGTAGATTGGTTATAAATTAACAAGTGTATACATAATCACATCTCCCACTTCTATTCAAACTATGAACTTTTTCTGTTTGTGTACGGCTTTATATCGCATCTACTATTGTAACAGTAACTAAATTTCACCTTTATTTATCAATATTATTATTAACGTCTGAAAATAATAGTGGAGAATGATTTCTGTGATAGATTCAGTACGGATTCATAGTTATTCTTTAATTTTACATGTACGACTATGAGCTAATTAACTGCATTCCTTTGTTGATTATTTTTATTGTTTGATTTCCACTTAAAGAAAATTACCCTTCTAATAAAGATTGGGAATATTCATACAAATATTGTCATAAATTTTAAAAATCGATTAGCTTTTCAAAAAGCATTTTTCTCTTTTGTTTATCTGTTCACTTAACTCTTAGTTATCTGCAATTCCTTCCTTTTTATTTAAAAACAATATTCAGTAATGTCATAATTGAGCTAATGTTCAATTATTTAATTGTGCTCTTATATAATTTATTATTTTCAGTTCGCCTTTATTGTTTATACTTAATCAGTTTACAGGAGAACTGTGAAGTTGTCATGAACATATTGTCAAATGTATTGTGTAATTCACCTTAAATATTTTTCGTATATTTAGGTAATCAATATTAGCTTTATTATTATATATGTATATGTGTATATATATATATAAACGTCCGTACAACTCTCACTTTCTTAAAGAACATCAGTTATAGTGCTCACTATTCTCATGGATTCAGTGTTTTGAGAGTTTCCACCTAAGATGTTACAGAGATGATATATCCTATTTTATAAATCTTTACCTATCAAGCAGAGCAATTGATGCATTTTCAAACGATGGTGTCTTTAAGGCATAGTTTGCGTATAGCAGAACTACCATCTATAAAATTTCGTAGTAAGCAGTTGTGAATAATAAATATATATTCGATCTAATGACCAGATTCCTCGAAAATGGCAAACTTGCAAATCACTTAAGAAATCTTTGACATTAATTGGCCTCTAATCTGTGTATGAAAACAGTATACTTATACTCTGGTTTAAAACAGAGTGTTGTCAGCCAAAATATAATAATCTACCACGTTCTAGATTATTTTATGTGATAATAAACGATGAGTGGGATTCAATGTGCTCAAGATACTTGGGTTATTTATTACTCGAGTCGTAGTGTAAGCCGTAATTCTGGATAACTTATTCTAACACATGGAATCGGTGTAACACACTGAGTACTTCCCAGTTAATCAGAAAACTACACGAACTACCATTTATCGGGATTCATTGTTACCCTATGCTTGTACAGTCACATCGGTGAAAACTAATCTTATTGACACTTATTTCGCTAAGTGACTTGTACATATCTTTGTGTTTTCAACTTGTTTAATCCTTCACTTCTATCACTCCAGGAAACTGCCTAACTTAATAATACTTGTTATTCTCAATTCACTAATTGTTTCATAAACTTATTGTAATCACCTAATTGTGGAATTAGAAATAAACACGATATCGAAAGGTTAGGTAGCTTCGTCGCTTGTAGTGAACAATGCAAGATGTATTTGATAATCGTCAGAATGATTAAGCCAAATTCATTGTAAGAAGATTAAATGGTTGTGAAATAGACTGGAGGCTTCACTATCAGTGCACGAAGCTCCTTAAATTTGTGTGACTGAATATGTTCTACAATCAAATACCGCGATTCGCAACAATCAGGTTAACACGAAACAAAATTCCATATGTTATACTTGGTTTGAAAAGTAGATTTACAACGTAAAAACTTGCAAAATGTTGGTAGGTTAATTAAACATAAAGGTTTTAGAATTTTGCACACATATTCAACATTCCGTAGTTAACTAATGTAGTACTTGCCTATACTTTTTCTCTTCCTTTAGTCAGCACATAAAACCAAAGTTTGTTTAAACATATATACCCTTTAAATCGTACTGTGGAGGCAGAATACTTTTATCCATCAACGATTTGTAAACGAGTAACGATTGATGGTATTCTCACTCACATCGTTCTATTTCGAAGACTCATATATTATTATCACAGTGATGAGATTAACTACCATTTCTAAACAAATTTCAACTATGTTTACTTCATAGGATAATTATACTTTCAACTCGTATCTTTTGACTCATATAAAAATCACTACATAAGTTGGAATAATCACCAATGTTTTTAAAAATATGTTCTTTACAAAATAATTGAATTTCATCTACGAGTGGTACTTATGATTTACAGTGAAACTTTTTTAATAAGTTGTTTTCAATAGAAAATTTGTTCACGTAAAATATATCCATAAAAAATATCACAAGTATTTCGTGCAAACATCAGGTTTTTGAGTTTAAATAGAGAGTTGTGGACCATAAACCACAGTAAACAGATGATATAACCATATTGGAATCCAATTGTTGATTTGTTAAGAGTGGGTGTTTCACTGGCGAATCAACAGCTTCCATAGATGAGTCAAATCCCAACTGACCAAATTTATTGCATCCAAAACAAAACAGGATGCCATCTTCTGTCAGACAGGCTGTGTGACAACCACCGCAGGCAATCTAGCACAAAGTATTAAAAATAAAGACGTAGTAACCATCGAAAACAGGCTCGAATCTAGTTATAAAATACCATACATTGCATGCAAAACACCTGACCTATTTCCCATTATGAAACACGGGTTCAGGCTTTTGTTATCCTTACCACAACTAAAACATCTGTCATCACGCTATAAGTCTGTACTTTTTAATTATCATGTTTATTTAGGTGATCTATTACACTGTTATCACTGACTGACAAACTGCTTTGGCTGGTTTAATAATTTCCTAAATGCATATAAATAATATTGTATATTAGAGTAGAGCCTAATGAAGATCTGATTGAAAACAATATTGTTCGATCATATATGTTCTAATTTACAACTGGATGTATCAAATATAAACGACCTTTTGGCAGTTGATAACATGTACGTAAACTGTGGAAGAAATACCTTCAACGACCGCAGTGAAGCAAACAGATGGAGATGCTATGCATTAATGAAATTTGGTTGGATGAAACACAGATATTACATAACTATACGTGACCTTGGGGATTCTAAACATGATAACGGACTTCAGAGAAGGTATATGAATAAGGCTGTGGGACTACAAAATATCTCATTACATACTATTTAGACTATATTAAATGGCACGTGTTCAGGGTAATGTACTGTAACTGATAATCAAAATTAATAAGTTCGCTTGCGATGGTTAAAGACCAAAATTATTATGTCTAATAAATCTGGTATGTCATTTATTACATGAACTTGGTGCAAGTTGAGGTATGCGACCTATATGATCGGCCTTTTCTAACACTTTCATCCTGTAGTGGGAAAGGAGCATCACCAGAGAGCTTAGGTTTGTGAACTAGACACATCGCTTCTGTCACACTTGAGTGCAGTCGGCAGCATAACTTCACCAGTGCACCTTACGTCTAATTTTCTCAGTCATATGCACTTCCCGCAACCGGTCAACCTGACATGATAGAACCTACAGGGATGAGTATTTTACCCGGTACAGCTCGATAGCACCATTATGATGAGCAATTTAGAGCAATGTGGCAGCAGAAAAATTGGGTCGTGAATGGCATATATAAATAAATAGTGAATTAAATCAAAGAAACATATTTTGAGTAGTGTGTTTGTTTTTGTGAAACCCATCACTAAAACAACGTAAATAATATGAAGTAAAAATAAACTTCACTTAAAATGATGTTCCTCAAAGTTTACTTAATCTCAGTTCCCTTTTGAACAGAGAATATACAAACTAATTACTTTTAAAAGTGGTTTTACAAGGTAGTTGACAGAATAAATAGGCTTAGTTGTGTTATAATTCACCTTAAAATAGACTGGGAAGTAATCTTGTCATAATAATTGAGAATAGACGCAAAAAAATAAAGTGGACTCTAAAATGGGAAAAGGATCAAACACGGAAATAACATCTAATTTTATACCGGCCGACAAAACATTCGTTAAGAAAATAAGTTACTTGTGAAATAGATACGTTATCAGGGAAATCTACTGGAGTAGGAAGGGCCAAGACAGATACACAACTTTCCCGTTCTTTCTCGGTGATAGAGTTTGATTTATTACTGATTCCAAGGGACCTGTGCCCTAGTTGACCATGTTCATTCCAACCCCAAGTATAAACGTCTCCTGTATCTGGTTTTTAAAGAACAGAATAATTAGAAATATTTAATCTTACCAGTCAAACATACTGAATGCCAATTTCCTGCTGCAATTTGAGTAACAGTCAATATTTGTAAAGCTTCAATTATAGTCAGTTCAGTTTTGTCAGTTAAATCACCTAAACCTAACTGACCTCGACTTGAGATAAAAACATTAAATTATAAGTGATAACTTACCTACCTTCCTATACCCTGACTAAACACCTGTCCTGAAAATGTTAAACATAACAAAAACCCTAGACCACATGATATCGATTTTATTTTTATTGTTAAACTAAGTGGGCGATCAACTGCAATGATATTTCCAAAATCACAAACTTTTAGTAAGGTAACAGTTTCGTCTACCAATGAAATATACTGTGCGAATAAAATCCCACCTACCCTTCACACAATATACATTCTGACCATCTGAAGCTACTTGAACAACAGATATATCAGCAGAGACGCTATTCCCGTGATTTTTTTCAATTCCAGTGATGGATTCAGGTGTTGCGATAAAGAGCCATGAATCATTCGATCCTATGGACAGACCTGCAAGGTTTAGGTGTTTTTCCTGTAACAACCCGACCAAACAATAAGACGTCGGAAAATCTACATCGTGACTAACAGTTGGAATCCAAGTTACCACGTGAGAATAGTGAACAGTGCCAATCTGCAAAAACCAAGCAATCACTTGGGGTGAACTCGAAAGTTGATTTCCATTCTCCACCATAATGACGGTATGCTCCAGATGTTAAAACTAAGCTTTCTGTAGAAATTTTCATAAAGTTAAGGCCTGAAAGATGAATGATATTAGAGCACGTTGATTCTTCTAATCATAATGAAAAATAGGTTATGTATAGCAAGTAAATTCGAATCCTCAAATAACAGTAATGACCTGGAAATTTAATTAGTCGCATTTTGTTTCCAATATAAAATTGTACTCTGTCGCACAACTTAACGAAAACCAGTAACAAGTGTGACTTTTGAAAAAGCTTTACAATGAAGAACTAAGCAAACAATTGTTAAAAGTAAATATAAGAACCTAAGATTACATATTATTCGCAACATCGAAGCAGTCCATTATAAAGCTAGCACTCGCAACAACGCACCTTCTGTTTACGCATCGTCACAGGAAAATGACAGACGCACTAATGAGTAATGTTACACATTGAACCAAAACAAAGATACATACATTTTCCAGGAACAATTTAATTTTTCACATTGCTTACAATTAGGAGGTAGATGTTGCTTTAATTTATATGTTCCAATAAAAATACCGGTAGTATCAATACTGTTTCGACGACATGAGTTGAGAAAGAAGCGCCTAATTTAGTGATACTCATGAAACCTGTGTATCACGCTTTGTTCAGGAGATGCACTCAATACGAGTTTATAGGAGTACATCAAACGAACATGCGACACGAAAGGTTACATGACGTGTATGGAACTTCACATTTATCATAACCTGTTGTTGTATTATGCCCAACGACACGCCTAACACTATTACAAGTTTGAGGTTACAAACAATAAATCCGATGCGCGAATGACATTCCCCAATGGAGAACATGGTTTAAGAAGTGATGTCACATTTCGTACTCAGTCCCAAGGTATCATTCATCGTGGTAGGAGCACTTTCGAAAACCCGCCTACAGATATGTCGGAAATGTTCCCGTCATAGCACTTATTACACTTAGGTGTAACTAAGAAGCTTACGTCTTTACAAAATGGTCTGTCCAGCATGCAAACGAAGCGAACAGATTCGTCCTTTTAGGAATCCACAAATGTAACCAATAAATGTTATAGACGACACACGACTTCTGACTTCCAAAGAAAATGTTGTTCACTTGATGAAGTTCCTGTTTGTAAGACAACGGAAAGTAGTTTGTTCTTATTATAAGTATGTTCTGCGATTGTGATATATTACCGTCGGTAAAACGGTAAGCTGATGCAAGCAGCACATCCTGCACTTGTTGAAGAAGCTTAGACAACAAAAGTTGTCTGTGAAGGTCATTGTCGAAAATCTTTTGACCAATTTGTCAAATTAATTACCTCTCCCATTAGTAACAACATGTCTGTTGCTGAGCCATGTTGAAGATCGATGCTATCGAGGAGTTGATCCAACCTTTGTCGGTCAGTTAGATCTCTGCATTTCAGAATGGACCCAAACAACACACATACTAGATGTGACGTACTTAATGAATTTGCGCGGTAGTGTTTTCACTACATCATATAAAAATTAAAGCAAATAAATGATATATAAGGTTCCGAAAAGAAACAGACTCGCAGTTTACAAGCAGTTGTATCAGAATCAGTCGGGCTCACCGCCGAAGATGCCACAAGTATTTGCTGTTTGACAACACCTTAACCAGTAACACACACTACTCGAAACGTGCACAACCCAGTGAAATCAGAAGCAGGAAGCGAAGATGTTTGAAGATATGTTTGATAGGCTATCAGTATATCGAGAAGTGACTGATCTCAACGGGCTAGCTGTTGTAGGAGAAGTTGAGCACGACGTTCCCACTCGTGATCTGGTGTGGACGCGTAACCGAGCAACTTCAGCTGGGTGCATCCATGAGGGCGAATGCGGTCAGCATCGAATGTTGAATATACACGAAGCTATTGTTTTTGAGAATTTAAGTTCCGCCGCAACTTAATAGTATATTTTCCCAATATCAATCCTTATATTCATGCTTCAAATTCGTACAAAATATATTATCAATACGAACAAGTGAGTTTCATGTAGTAAATGACATACCAGATTTATTAGACATAATAGTTTTGGTCTTTAACCATCGCAAGCGAACTTATTAATTTTGATTATCAGTTACAGTACATTACCCTGAACACGTGCCATTTAATATAGTCTAAATAGTATGTAATGAGATATTTTGTAGTCCCACAGCCTTATTCATATACCTTCTCTGAAGTCCGTTATCATGTTTAGAATCCCCAAGGTCACGTATAGTTATGTAATATCTGTGTTTCATCCAACCAAATTTCATTAATGCATAGCATCTCCATCTGTTTGCTTCACTGCGGTCGTTGAAGGTATTTCTTCCACAGTTTACGTACATGTTATCAACTGCCAAAAGGTCGTTTATATTTGATACATCCAGTTGTAAATTAGAACATATATGATCGAACAATATTGTTTTCAATCAGATCTTCATTAGGCTCTACTCTAATATACAATATTATTTATATGCATTTAGGAAATTATTAAACCAGCCAAAGCAGTTTGTCAGTCAGTGATAACAGTGTAATAGATTACCTAAATAAAGACAGAGCGGCTTATGCCAACCTGGGCCACCTTTGGCGCTTTCGTGATGTTAGTCTGGCTGTAAAAGGTCGGATCTACAACGCGTCGGTGAGAGCAGTTTTGCTCTATGCTTGTGAAACCTGGTCTCTCCGAGTTGAGGACGTTAGACGACTCTCTGTGTTCGGTCATCGCTGTCTCCGAAGGATTGCTGACATTCAGTGGCAACACCATGTCAGTAATGCAGAGGTTCGGCATCGTGTGTTCAGGCACAGAGATGATAATTCAATTGGTGTCAACAACTTGAAACACCGACTTCATTGGCTTGGACATGTTCTCCGAATGTCATCCCAGGGAATTCCACGTCGTGCATTATTTGCCGACTCTGGGACTGGTTGGAAGAAGCGGAGAGGTGGTCAGTTCATGACATGGTGTCGTGGCATGAAAGCTGCGAAGGACTGGCTTCTGTTGGTTGTTCACGACTCCCTGGTTGGGGTCTGAGAGTTGGTGCTACCCAGTGGCTAGAGACGTTAACAGATATGGCTCAGAATAGAAGCCAGTGGCGATCCTGCTGTAACCTTCTTTTACTTTCTTCATAAAAAGTGGTTGTGTCTCCCTTACCTGAAAGATTTTTTACGAGTGCACCTTTCCGTTCCTTCATTACTACCACACTAACTTACACCAATCACTTCGTTATTGTTCTCTTTTTTTGCGCTACTTAGTTTTTTGTCTTTGTATTTCTCTTCGAATTCTCATTGTTTTGTATAGCGCATATATATTGGCGCTCCCTTGTACCAATATTCATGTGTTCAAATAAATAAATAAATTATTAAGTTAGGCAGTTTCCTGGAGTGATAGAAGTGAAGGATTAAACAAGTTGAAAACACAAAGATATGTACAAGTCACTTAACGAAATAAGTGGATAAGTGTCAATAAGATTAGTTTTCACCGATGTGACTGTACAAGCATAGGGTAACAATGAATCCTGATAAATGGTAGTTCGTGTAGTTTTCTGATTAACTGGGAAGTACTCAGTGTTACACCGATTCCATGTGTTAGAATAAGTTATCCAGAATTACTGCTTACACTACCACTCGTTATTGTAACCCGATCGACTGTTAAATTGACCCTCGGTTACTATGCAGTGAAGTTATTTTACAGGTATATTCTGATGTTTCATGGTAGGAATATTTCTATCTAGCAGTAAAAGCTTCATATCACATGACTATTTGCAATATCAAAACAGTCGTATAAGGAATCTGGAGATGCATCAAGTTCATATAATTTTCGGTGCTACATAGTTCCCTCACCTACCTGTACAATGTTATAATATCTCCAAATCAGTTCAGACCTTTTGCGATATTCCCTTCAGTTCGATATGGGAACGGATTGAATTACCGTTAGAAAACGTACTTAGAGGCATGGATATATCGAAATAAGTCGTTCAAAGCAGCAAGCTGAATGTAGTTAGGATATTTGGGAATAAATGCAAAGGGAAGTTTTAACCAGTCAGTATAGAAAGAGGTATGAAGCCTTGAAGAACAGTCTGTTCGCCACAACGTTTTGTAGACAACATCTGTTCTAATGACAATATAAACCTATTCCTACTCACTATTCTGTTTTATATCTATTTTAAAAGTGAACACTCACTTGATAATCACCTTCCGAAATTGTCTGTTTCAACTATTTTTGTTTTCATTCCCCATATTTCTCTGGAGCACGGACCTCAAGTTATTTCCTTCTTGATATTATCATTATTATCTTACAGACGAAAAATCGTCAGTCAAAAATATATATTCACATTCGATCTTTTACGAAACTATCAAGATTTGGACGAACAGGTTTGTGCAACCACTTTCCATTAATCGGCCACCAGCCGAAGCAGTTTATCAGTCAGTGATAACAGTGTAATAGATCACCTAAATAAACATGATAATTAAAAAGTACAGACTTATAGCGTGATGACAGATGTTTTAGTTGTGGTAAGGATAACAAAAGCCTGAACCCGTGTTTCATAATGGGAAATAGGTCAGGTGTTTTGCATGCAATGTATGGTATTTTATAACTAGATTCGAGCCTGTTTTCGATGGTTACTACGTCTTTATTTTTAATACTTTGTGCTAGATTGCCTGCGGTGGTTGTCACACAGCCTGTCTGACAGAAGATGGCATCCTGTTTTGTTTTGGATGCAATAAATTTGGTCAGTTGGGATTTGACTCATCTATGGAAGCTGTTGATTCGCCAGTGAAACACCCACTCTTAACAAATCAACAATTGGATTCCAATATGGTTATATCATCTGTTTACTGTGGTTTATGGTCCACAACTCTCTATTTAAACTCAAAAACCTGATGTTTGCACGAAATACTTGTGATATTTTTTATGGATATATTTTACGTGAACAAATTTTCTATTGAAAACAACTTATTAAAAAAGTTTCACTGTAAATCATAAGTACCACTCGTAGATGAAATTCAATTATTTTGTAAAGAACATATTTTTAAAAACATTGGTGATTATTCCAACTTATGTAGTGATTTTTATATGAGTCAAAAGATACGAGTTGAAAGTATAATTATCCTATGAAGTAAACATAGTTGAAATTTGTTTAGAAATGGTAGTTAATATTAAGTTGATATCAAAATAAACTGCGAAGACGAATTTGAGTAGTTCTCCGTTGCGTGAAATACATGGCTGCTCAGTAAGTGTAATAGCAACACATGTATGAAATCTCATCACTGTGATAATAATATATGAGTCTTCGAAATAGAACGATGTGAGTGAGAATACCATCAATCGTTACTCGTTTACAAATCGTTGATGGATAAAAGTATTCTGCCTCCACAGTACGATTTAAAGGGTATATATGTTTAAACAAACTTTGGTTTTATGTGCTGACTAAAGGAAGAGAAAAAGTATAGGCAAGTACTACATTAGTTAACTACGGAATGTTGAATATGTGTGCAAAATTCTAAAACCTTTATGTTTAATTAACCTACCAACATTTTGCAAGTTTTTACGTTGTAAATCTACTTTTCAAACCAAGTATAACATATGGAATTTTGTTTCGTGTTAACCTGATTGTTGCGAATCGCGGTATTTGATTGTAGAACATATTCAGTCACACAAATTTAAGGAGCTTCGTGCACTGATAGTGAAGCCTCCAGTCTATTTCACAACCATTTAATCTTCTTACAATGAATTTGGCTTAATCATTCTGACGATTATCAAATACATCTTGCATTGTTCATGTGTTCAAATAAATAAATAAATTATTAAGTTAGGCAGTTTCCTGGAGTGATAGAAGTGAAGGATTAAACAAGTTGAAAACACAAAGATATGTACAAGTCACTTAACGAAATAAGTGGATAAGTGTCAATAAGATTAGTTTTCACCGATGTGACTGTACAAGCATAGGGTAACAATGAATCCTGATAAATGGTAGTTCGTGTAGTTTTCTGATTAACTGGGAAGTACTCAGTGTTACACCGATTCCATGTGTTAGAATAAGTTATCCAGAATTACTGCTTACACTACCACTCGTTATTGTAACCCGATCGACTGTTAAATTGACCCTCGGTTACTATGCAGTGAAGTTATTTTACAGGTATATTCTGATGTTTCATGGTAGGAATATTTCTATCTAGCAGTAAAAGCTTCATATCACATGACTATTTGCAATATCAAAACAGTCGTATAAGGAATCTGGAGATGCATCAAGTTCATATAATTTTCGGTGCTACATAGTTCCCTCACCTACCCGTACAATGTTATAATATCTCCAAATCAGTTCAGACCTTTTGCGATATTCCCTTCAGTTCGATATGGGAACGGATTGAATTACCGTTAGAAAACGTACTTAGAGGCATGGATATATCGAAATAAGTCGTTCAAAGCAGCAAGCTGAATGTAGTTAGGATATTTGGGAATAAATGCAAAGGGAAGTTTTAACCAGTCAGTATAGAAAGAGGTATGAAGCCTTGAAGAACAGTCTGTTCGCCACAACGTTTTGTAGACAACATCTGTTCTAATGACAATATAAACCTATTCCTACTCACTATTCTGTTTT